AAGACTGTCCACAGTGAGTGCCCGTGCACTGTCCCGTGCCGCACACATCTTCCAAGCGTGCAAGGGCTGAGGAAGTGTTTGAGCTCGGGTCGGAGCACTCACACTGGACTTTAGGGGTGAAGTGTGCTTAGGCATGGTACCGATTACTTAGTGTGAGAGTTCCCTCAGACAGTATGCAGGAGTTTGTGTGCTATCTCAGTTAATCAAAAAGATATTAAGAGCCTTTTGACTTACGTTTTATTTTTTTTACAAGTTTAGTATTGAAGATTAAATTCTTTTTGAAGACCCGACATCCAACAGCAAATCACTAACATCTGCACCACTCTCTCCTGCTTATTACTATCAAGTCACAGTTCAGGTGTTGTCTCTTCTCAGGTAAACTTAACTCTTCTCTGAACCAGAGCCTAAGTGGCTCCACTGGCCCCGCCCCCAGCAGCATAACCAAACCATCCAATCCCAGCAGAACAAACCGCTCAAGTGTGTATGGCACTGCGAGACCAGCGTCGTCCAACGCTGGCCGTCGCTCGCTGTCCACCCAGGCGAGGAAGCCCTCAGAGGTGGAACTCCCCAAAACCACAAAGTGTAGACCGCTGAAGAGAGCTGAGACCACGCCCCTCCAGGTGACGCCTGCCAAAAGACTTTCAGAGAGGACTGCCTCCATCCCCTCCAGCTCCTCGACACGGCTGCAGAGTGGTTTGAAAACTAAATCCAAACCTGAAGCTTTGGTCCTACCAACGCCCAGCGGAGGATTCAGAGGAGTCGCTCAAAAAGACGGTGAGAGTTCAATTTCATCTTCAGTAGTTTGTTTGTGAAATAGTTAAAGTCATTCATTCTGCAGTGTATTAAACAAAATCTCATTCTTTACAAAGACATGAAATCTTTTATAAAGTGTTGTTGGGTGTTATTGTCTGTGAGTAAAAGTTTAAATCTCTCGTTCTGTCTGACTTTGTGTTTCGTCTCCAGACACCTCAAAGATGATTCATCTAAAGAGGCAGATGTCAACAAGCAGCGTGGAAAGGTAAATTAAATCCCACTACCCCACTGTCGCCGCATCTTTAATCTTGAGTCAGTTTTATGTCAGCAGGGACCTTTTTAAAAAAAATATTATTATTATTATTATTTTGGTCATGTGACTGACACATGTCCAAAAACAGAGCAGAGTATATGTAGCTTAATTTGTCATTTGGATGTTGATGAAGATGCAAACAATGAAACCCTACAAATTGTACACATAACCAGCTGGCTGACATCCTTTTGACGGGAGCAAGTTTATGCCGTTAAGGGGATTTGGTGTCCTGGAGTTTTGACCTGGAGTTACACAAAGAGGAATTTGTTCTCTACAGAGAGCTTTAATTCAATTAAAACAAAGTCAACATACAGCTCCAAACTTAATCTAATTTAAAGTACAGAGGGATATTTATAGAAAGTAGATGTGTCATCCAGGTGGAAAAAACGCACCTGAACACATGTCCAGTCTCTGCTGCCACTCAGTTCTGTGTCTCAAATCTAAGTTTGTTTATTTTAATCCACCTCTTTGACAGTGCTGAGGTTAGTCTCCCTCAGAAGGCCTCTGCCGGTCCTGTAACGCCCTCTGCTGGCAGTGGCAGGGTGTTGCCGATGAAGGCACGGCGTCCCTCTGCCCTTCCTACCCCTGTGAAGCGCAGGATGTCCGCCATTCCCCCGGCCACGCCCACCAACCTGACCCTGCCCTCCAGACCTTCAACCACCTCTGACTCTGGCCCCGCCCCTTGCCACAGTGTTGCTAGGAGAGAGAAAAGCTGCAGGTGACATACTGAAATACTTACCTGTTCACTTTGATGTATACACATTTAAAAATCCAACTTTGTGCATTCAGTTTGATTAAGTTGTACAAATGAATATTGAAAGCACCTTTGTCACTTACTTCTGTTTTGTTTCTGTTTTGTTTTTTGTCGTTTTTTTGTGTAGCCCCACCCCAGCAGAGACTCAGGAGGCAGAGCTTGTTGTTGCCCTTGAGGTCCGGCCCTTCTGTCTGGAAGAGGAGGAGGAGTCTACTGCTGCCCCGCCCCCAAGCCTTCCACACACCGACCAATCGGAGAGCATTGAGCCTGTATCGGAACCAATTCAGGTGGAACCAGCGCCCAGCAGAGACCTGATCGAACTCGGGTCTACAGGGGAGAGCAACACAAAGACACAGGAGGTCAGAGAAGACACACAAACACAAAACAGTGGCAGGCTCTGGTTTCCACTTGAGGCTGGCTGCAGATTAACCTGTTCAGAGCCTGGTCAACAGAGAACAGGATATTCTGAAAGTATAATTTGATCTGAACTTCACCCTCCTCCTCCTCCTCAGTTGAGAGAACCTTTCAGACTTTCTTCACTCGTCATCCTCTCTCTTTTTAATCTCCTCAGGTCCTCCTGTTGGATCTTCCGGCCCCCATTGTGCACCCTCAAGAGAAACTGCTCATCGACCTGACCAACACCCCCGACTTGATCCGGACTAGCGGCAAGACCTGCCCGTCCTCTCAGGTAACTGTGTCCTATTGTTTACAGTGAGAAAGCAGACTCAGAGGGGAAAACAAACACCTAGCTGTGGGAGTGTCACCCACCTGGGGGAGGGGTTACTGCCCTTTGTGATGTCATGAAGGGAAAATCTCCAAACGGCCTGTTTGAGCACACATTTTCTGAAAAGTGGAGCAGGTAAAAGATGGAGAGGATGGACTTTTCTCATAATTGGGGGGTTTGTAGACGGACTAGAGACACATGTTAGTGTTAGAGAAACATGGTGAAGTGGATTCTACATAATGTGACCTGCTAAATACTGAAAGTGGGACTTGGGATGCAGAGTGTGGCATTAGAATTTGTAGACGGGAATTGGTCAATGTCGTTTTCTGCCTGTAAAAAGGATTGTGATGAACCTGAAAACAATCAGAAGATTAGTATATAATGTATAGTTTCAGCCTTATAATGACATGTTCAAGCATCACCTCATAGGGGAATGTTTTTGATGTATTTCTTTCAGCAGCTGATCGATCTGACCTCTCCGCTCATCAAGTGGAGTCCAGAAGACAAAAGAGAGAACAACGCCCCGCTCATCAACCTGTCCTTCTGATCCAGATCCTCCTGAACAGCTGGATCTGGTTTCCTGTGATGAACTGGGCTCAGCAGGTTTCTGTTTTCAGAAACTGTCAAAGCTAATCCAGCATTGTAAAGTACAGAGTTTTAATCAGAGAAGTCCTTTACTGAATCAGAGTATTATGTGTTTTAAATGAAAATAATGAAAGGTTCCCCAAGTCTTTCTGCACCTGATTGTACTTTTATTTGTGTCCGTCTCGCTGCTCTTATCGATGTTTGAATAAATGTTGTTTATGTCACGGCTGCTGATGCGTCTTTGTGTTCAGGCAACCAACGTGGTGCGTTTTTTAAAATGGACAACAAGAAGTGGACGCAGCCACCGATATGTCACCCATTGGTTTGTGAGCCCCCCTCTGTGAAATGTGTCGTTATGATCATTGCCGTTCCTTTTTATTGGAACAAGAATTGAGGTCATGCTTCTTGCGGCCGGCGCCACGGTCCCTGCAAACGTTGAGTCGTTTCATACTGATTGCGGTCAAAGCGGTCTGATTGCTCAACACGGCCCGAAGAAAGTACTTCCGGGCCCTGCGGGGCAATATTGCGTAATCGTGGTCGACACGAGGTCGTCCGCGTTGTTACAAAATCTTGGAGATGTGTGGCTGGGCGCTCAGACACTCTGACCATTCTCACCCCGACCGCAATGAGTCGCATTGTGCAGCACATGGCAATTTACATAACGTTAGTTTTCCGTGAAAACACTTTGGAAAGCTAGCAAGCCAGCCTTTCTGTTCAACATGCTGTCTGATCATATTTACTGTTTGGTAGCCATAGGTAAAGATGAGAGAAATGTGTGCTAGCTTGAAGGTAACTTCATACAGCTTTCTGGTTCATTATTATCTCAGGCAACATTAAAGTGACAGCTGGTCAACACGTGATAAGGTAGACCAGAGGGAATATAAACTTAATGAAAACCAGCAGGAGCAAAACATCAGGTTCATATATTGATAATGTTTCATATTTTATGATAGAAGATATGTGAAAATATTGTCATACTTGATGACTGTATTATGATGCTCTCTCAGACTCTGCCCTGAGAGCTACTTGCATAGTGACTGCCCTTCACATCACCCCTTAGTGGAACATGCCCTGTTCTGCAAATTCATCCCATTTATAAAAAGGGACTGAAGGTTGGTAGCACGGGTTTCCTTGAATGTTGTTCGGATTCAAACCAGGGGCGATTCTAGAGTCTGTTGGGGGTCCAAGACAAAGATTCACAGGGGGCCCCTTCAACCAGCACTCACCACCATTCTTCAGTTTTTTGCCCTACTGATGTTGGGCCCTATCTTGCCTGTTGACAAACAGCGTCTCAAACCCACGGCCACCACGATGAGGACTACAGCCTCTGTACATGGGGGGCGCAACATACCCGCCAGGAAACTTGCTGAGTCAAAATAACATAGAGACAAAGTACTTTAAGAAGATGTAAAGTCGAAAGATGAATTCACAAAATGAAAAAAAACATCGTATTTCACTTCTTGTGTTGCTTCTTTATGAATTTACTTTTTCTGCTAAAATAAGAATGTTTTTTTTTTGCCAGCCCCTTGTATGAATGGCCAGTACATTGTTATATAAATGAATATAAGAAATGACGTCTAGCTTAATCCCTCATGCTGTTTTCTAAGGAAACAGTTATCTGTAGTTTAAACAATAAAGTCTATAATTATTCGACTGTATCTGTCATGGGTCAGACTTCAACATTTAGCAGGTGTCCTCCCCACCTTCACTCCCACGATGTCACATGAAAGTGACCAATATTTATTTTGCTTCCATAAGCAGATTTTATTTTGCTGACCTAATGTGGGAATCAGCCGCATGTTTTCAAGGCGACGCCTCTTATCACCGGGCAAAGCAGATGTAGTGAAGGTTATAAACAGCATCTGCAGCAGGACCCAGGTGTCCACTCTGTTCACCTGCAGGACGGAAACATGGCTCTCTTCAAGTGCTCGCTCGGTGTCCTCGTCGTCCTGCTGCTGCTCTCTGAATGCTCCTGGGCTGAAGATACGGTCAGGAAACTTTCACATTTTAAAACAACAGAAAAGAAGAAAGAGGTCAAACGAGGGTCAGATCAGAGCTCTCAGTTTAGTCTCTGGATTTCCTCCTGTTGTTGCTGGTTTTTTGTTTGTTCGATATTTTTTGGGCCTCTGAAGAGAGACAGAAACGTTGGGATCAGAGAGTGAGACTGACATGCAGCGAAGGGTCGAGGTCGGATTCAAACCCATGGCCACTGTGATGAAGACTATAGCGTCAGTGCAAGGTAGCCTATAGTGACAAGGCTATCGGCGCCCTCTGTTGTTGCTGTTATTATTTCCGGTTTAATAAGAGAAAATAAAGATCTGCTGCAACTAGCCCCAAACTACGCTGTAAAAGATTTGCATCCCAAATTTATAGCAACAAGGATGTTCATAAGAGCAGACAATTGATTAAGTTACTTACATTTTAATTGATCATCTAACTAAAATGGCTATTTCTGTAACAACAACATTATCTATTTTACTCTTTCAGAGTTATTTTACTATCTATGTCTTTATGTTTGAACCTGCAACAACAGCACGTTTGTTATTTATGCTTTTTTTTCCCATATAACTTTTGCAGCTTGGTTCATTTTTCATGTGTGGGCGGCTTTCAGTGGTTGCATTTATTTTGGACTGTTGTACATATATTTTTCAAAAATGCATCCTCTGCATTTCTGAATTTGCTGATTGTTTGTTTAAATGGGGCTGCTTTGGCTCAGTAGAGTCGGTCTTCTCTCAAACGGAAAGTTGGGGGTTCGATCCCCAGTTCCTGCAGCCACGTGTCCGATGTGTCCTTGGACAAGACACTTGACACTGAATTGCTCCCATTGCTTCGGTGGCGGGGTATGAATGTGTATGAATGGGATTAGTTACTTCTGATGGTCACTTTACATATCAGCCTCTGCCATCAGTGTGTGAATTGGTGTGACCTGCGGTGAAAAAGCACTTCGAGTAGTCAGAAGACTCGAAAAGCGCTCTACAAGCTCAAGACCATTTACCATTTCCTGTCCTCTTATTAATGACATGACCTTCCTGATCTAGGATCTGTCTGTGTCTGAGCTCCTGTGGAGGGCCAACAAAGATGTAGGTAAGACAAATGTATTTATTACATTTTAACTTTGATAGTGTGAATCATTTCATAATTATATGAATTCAGTATTGAAGTCATTTGTCAAATGTGGCAAAAGCTATGGTGGCTTTAAAACAAAGTAAGGTAATGATGGAGAAATATCCATCCATTTTCTATACTGCTGATGCCGATCCCAGCTGCCATTGGCCAATCTTAGACCTGGGTGTCTTACATGAAATGTCCCATACGGGGGACCATGAAGGCTGCCACAGTCCATGACGCAAAAGTCCATGCACATTGGTTGTGCCTTAGACAGCCTTTCCAGTTAAACACTTTTAAAGGTCAAAGTAAACGGACTTCGGCGATGATGTCACTGACCTATCCTGTTTGTCGTCCTCCTGCAGTGCGCACAAAGGACGAGCCCTTGGTTATCGATGACATCGCCTATGACAATGAAAACGAGAGAAACGCTGATCCCTGCACCTCCCAAGGCTGCATGTGGGCAAAATCAGCTGATGGAAAAATCTATGTGCCTTATACCATCGCAGGACATTTCTGTGAGTACATTTTTTTAAGCTTCTACGGAGATTTGAACTCGTAATCAAGTAAAGATTAAGATGCCTCCAGAGGTGCTGCTCGTCAACATGTTGAACCCCTGCTCATAGTCGTTTGTGTTTATGTTTTTCTCAGCTTCTCGTGAGCGCTCCATCATCGAGCGTGGTCTTGTCTCCTTCCATGACGTCTCGTGCATTCGCTTCGTCCAGCGCAGCAGCCAGAGGGATTACCTGAACATCCAGTCCGACAATGGGTGATGTTTTTATTACCTCAAACATGTGATTGTGCAAAATACAAATCAATTAATATCAGCTATTAGAAAATTGAGCAACATATCTGTAAGATATCTGCTAACTGAAATGATAAAGTGACCTTACTTTATGATCAGACATTAAGGAAACATGCTATGTTGAAGTGTTGGCTTCTCTGTCAACAATGCAGCAGCCAGTATGTCCTCCTTCTAACTTTAGATTCTGGTCCTGAATTATCTGGATTTGTTTGGACCAGAGAAGGTGGGCGGTTTTAAAGCACCCCCATAAGACCGTATATGAGACCAGATATGAGAGCAGTTATCAGGTCAAACCAACAGGTGTTGCAGTGATGGAAGCGGGCAAGAGAACTGGTTCAGATAGAAGTGATTGTACCCGACCTAAAAAACTTATGCATGTTTCTAATAAGCTCAACGAGCAGAAACGTGCTCAAACTAGGATCAATATTGGAGATGCTTTTGAAAAATGGAGGGAGGTTAAAACACAGAATGGTTTATAGACTAATGCAGAGCTGGCTAAACACTGAAGCTTCAGTGTCCATCACATGGCAACCTGCGTGCACATTGACTCTAGAGAGGAGGGGACGGGGGGGGGGGAGACAGCTGCGTCAGAGTCAGTGAAGACTTTATTTCATTAAGATAAATAACTATCTTCTTAATTATTCAGCAAATTATTGAGCCGTGCACTTTTGCTTCTATCATCTCATGTTTTATTTCACTGTTTGATTGCAGTTGTTATTCGTACGTTGGTCGCCGTGGTTACTCTCAGACGGTGTCTCTGGACCGTCAGGGCTGCCTCTACCACAGCACTGTGCAGCATGAGCTGCTTCACGCGCTCGGCTTCAACCACGAACAGTGCCGCTCAGACAGAGACCAATACATCAAGATCCTGTGGGAGAACATCCAGTCCGGTCTGTATTTCAGCCTCTAACACACAAACCAAAGAGACACTTATAATGTTACATTTAGAAGAAGGATAAACTCATCAGTGGACCCAACTGAGGATTAAAAAATACTTCTGATAGGTCTGCTTTTTTAAATTGATCATATCTTTATCTTTGAAATACAACCTGGAGGTTTATATGAACATAAATATATAAAAAAAGAAAAAGTACTGAGTCCACACACCAAAAGCTGCTCCAATTAAATTGAATTTAATGGAATATCACATGTAACATTTCAGGCTTTCTACCTTCATCAGACATGAACAAGTTAATGAACACACCTCCACACACACACATATATATATATATATATATGCGCAACACAAAGGTCACCTGACAGGTCATGTGATATGATGTCAGGTGACCTCGGGGTTGTATATATGGGATATTCCATTCAATTCAATTTAATTGCAGTAGCTTCTGGTGTGCGGACACACCACTTTTTTTTATGTTTGGATGTTTTTCGTCCAGCACCCAGTACTTAAACTCTCCCAAATGCTCGTGCCCTTTTGACATTTTTATTTATTAATATATGTTGTGTAAACTTGTTGTAAACAGAAAGTCCAAAACTCAAAGATGAGCTGAGAAATCATGGCATCTGTGAAACAGGTTTATAGCTTAAATTCAATCGTAACACAAAAGTAATCCTACTGCTTCACAGCTAACAAATGATAAAAACTGGCACAAAAAAAATTCAATTTAAATGACACATTTCATATTTTCCCTCAATGCAATATCCAGAGATCTAACCGGGCAAACTAAAAGACAGTTAACAGTTTCTATTTTTCTTTTAACCCTTGTTGTGATTTCTTTTTTGTCTTTAGGGTGGGAGTACGCCTTCGACAAGATCAACACTCTGAACCAGAACACCCCCTACGACTACAACTCTGTCATGCAGTACCACAGGTTGGCCAGACTTAATTTCATCCAGCATCTCTTGTTTCGATATCATTTAATACATTTTCAGAAAGTTTTTCTTTTAATAACTTTGTGCGATCATTTTTTGTATGAATCTTGATTTAAGGGACTTAAATATGACTATGAAAATGATTGGGATAAAGACGAGGAGAATCATACGTTTCATTTCATCAAAGCAAGAAGGAATCCTCTTCGGCTTCTGTCAACACTTTTTTAGATAATCTGTTTTACTAAGAGACAAGAAAAAAAACCTCTATAAAGAGCTGCAACATGAACTGTTATAAGTCCTTATTAACTCCTTCAAGCGACACCTGCAGTACCTCAAATGACCACTTGGGGCTGGGATCCAAAGTGAGTCAATCCCCTTATACTGTATTTTAAAATGCCAAACTTTGAAGCAGAATCAACCTTGGGAAAGTATGCGTATTTAAAGGGGGGTTGGTGCTTTCCACAAGTCCAAATACATTTTCCACACTCCCTGAGCCTTTTTTGACACAGCTGATAGTGAACCAATAATTTTCTTCTTCCCAAGACAACAAAATAAATTATCGTTATCTGTATCGTGTATATTTCCAGGTACGCCTTCTCTGGGAACAATAAGCCTACGATGGCTCCCATCCCCAACGCCAATGTTGAATTCGGCACGGCCACCCAGATGAGCCAAAATGACATCACCAGACTGAACAGGCTGTACAAATGTTAAACAGTGAGTAAGTGTCTGACTCTCCTCTTCTGCTTTGTTTCTCGTTAATGTCCTTTACTTTCCTGTCGCCTACTGAAACAACAACAACCTCAGAGCGAGTTCCCAACTTATTTTATTTTGATGGAGATTAAAATCCTAATACACATCTTATATTTGAAGCAGTATCTTTTTCTCTGGTGATTCTCCCTCTTCTAGTGCAAATGATCCTGGTACTATTTAGTTAGAGACACTGTTACTACATCATGTTTTATTATATTCAAGCTTCTGTTTCAGAAGTTTTTTAAATTCAGTAACTCTTTTAATTGGTGTGTTCTAATAATTGTCCTGTGCTCTCTCTTCTTTTCTCATTGTCATGATGTTCTGATGTTTTGTGTGAAGCTCTTTGAACTGCCTTGTTGTTGAAATGTGCTCTTAAAATGAACTCACCTGGCCTTGCCCTCCTTGAGTTTAGTGTAGCGACTTGTAGAAGAATGAAGAATGTGCAACATTTTACCCATTAATACAACAGACATCAAGTCTATCCTGTGTAAATGTGTCTCTGAGTCATGACTGTCTACAATGAGTGAGAAGCTTGAGTCCTGCTGGCTGTGTTGTTGTCAGAGCCGTGTTAACATGGACGGGACGGCCGGCTCCTCCCCTTGTGTATAAAAGCTGTTTTAGTCAAGGACAAGAGAAGAAGAAGAACATACTCACTGATTATTTGAATGCCAGCTAAGTGTTTTTAGATCTTGGTCATTCTGTGTCAATTTACATGCAATGTGAAGCTACAAGCTAACTAAAGAGTGCTAACATTAGAATGCTAGCTCAACTATGCAGCTTGAGCAAAGGACATTTTTGTCTGCAGCTTGTGCTAAAACCTTTGTATGAATAATAATAACAATAAAGTTTATTTATATAGCGCTTTTCGCAGACGAAGGTCACAAAGTGCTTTACATCAACAAAAAACAACAACAGCATCCATACAATGAAAGAAGATAAAAGAAAAAATTTGTACGTCATGGATGACATTATAAAATCCTGCTATAACCAGGAACAATAATTGGCACAATAAAACGTAGATCACCCGGTCTTGCGTACGCTGTGATCAGCCAGATACGCATGTTTCACAGGTCCCACGTGGACCCTGTCGTACGCTGATTTCTACACCCAAATCTGCGCTGGTTTCTACACCAGATTGATAAGTGAGGGCCAGTATGAGGTTAGGGTGGTCAACCGTATCAAAGGCGGAGCTGAGGTCAAGAAGAACCAACACTGAACAATCACCTCCATCAGCAGACATTAAAATATCATTGGAGACCCTGAATAGAGCAGTTTCAGTGGAGTGCCCTTTCTGGAACCCTGACTGGAATTTGTCATAGATGTTATGTTCCTCCAACACAGCAGTGAGTTGATTGGCCACAACTTTTTCCAATATTTTGGACATAAATGGCAACTTTAAAATTGGCCTATAGTTCATAGGCAGCGCTGGGTCTAAATTTGGTTTCTTTAAGATGGGCTAAAACATTGCATTTTAAAAATAAGTAGGGAAACATCCTGTAAGCAATGAGGAATTTACAATGGATAAAACAGCAGGACCAATAGTAGGTAAAAGTTTTAAAAACAGTGAGGTGGTAAGACATCCAAGGAGCATGTCAAATCCATAAGACCCTCAAAGCTAACAAGATGGAAGGAGTCCAAGACTGTAGGGGTAGCAGAGAAGCTGTCTCTAGGTGAGTGAGAGTTCGGCTGCATATTGGACCTTATAGCCAATACCTTATCAACAAAGAAGGAGATGAACTTAGTGCAGTCATCAGTTGAACAGCATGCTAAGGTGGATGGAGATGGTGAGACAATATTGTTGACTGTGTCAAATAAAACTTTTGGATTCCTTCTAGAGGAAGAGATTAAAGTGCCAAAGTAAGCAGTTCTGGCTTCCTGTACTGCTTCATTAAAAGAATGCCGCAAATCTTTGAGATAAAGGCGATGTATCTCTAGTCCAGTGGATTTCCATAGTCGTTCAGACTTTCGACATTGCTGTCTCAGGCAGTGGACAGCATTGGTCATCCATGGGAAATGTTAGGAATGGCCTTAGTCCTCGTCTTTAAAGGTGCCACTGTGTCCAGTAAAGTGGCACAATGAAGATTAAAAGATTGTAATAAAAGGTAAGTATTGTTTAGGTGTGAATGACAATCCCAATCATATTGTGCTAAGAACTGATCGGCTGTATCTGTTGTAATGATGTGGGAGTGGAAGGTTCTTACAACACTGGGCGGATCAATGGTTACACAAAGATCAAATCAAAGAAAATACTTCTGTGGTCACTGATCAGTAGCTCTTCACATCGGACATGGTTGACATCTATCCCTAGAGAAAAAACCAGGTCCAAGCTGTGGCCTTTTATGTGCTTGGGGCCTACAACATGTTGCTTGAGGTTAAAAGAATCTGTAATATTGAGAAATTCAGTGGCTGCAGAATTGGAAACATCATCAATATGCAGGTTAAAATCCCCAGCTAAAAGTATTCTGTCCAGTTAAATACAAGATGTTAAAAAGTCAGTGAACTCAGTTAAAAACTGTCCTGCTTGACCAGGAGGTCGGTAAATTAAGATACAATAAAAGGGATTGATCCTTCCAATTTTGGTAAGTTGTAGTTCGAGTGGAGAGGGGTTAGAGGTGTGTCCCTGGAGGAGAACAGTACGGAGGAGGTGTCACCTAACAACAGTTTGTTTTGGTTTCATGCTGGTGCTCCAGGGCGACATCTACTGGATCAAAAAGTCACACATTCTTCCTTTAATTAAAGCACTGCACACCTGAAAATGTCTTTACATTACCTGAAGCCGCAGCAGGATCCCCGTTTGAACACAGGATAATAACATGTGTGCTTCATACATACAGAGATTGAATTGATTAAATTGAAATGGATTATACATAATAACAAGAACAAGTGTAAAATACGAAAACATTCTATTCATAGATTTGGATGTTTTGTTTTTTCCCAACAGGTGATCAAATCAAACCTGGCAACATGGATCCAGTTGGTACCTGAAACCAGATGTACATTCACGTGTTTCATCCTTTCATACTAAAATCTAAGAAAATGTATACACAATAAATTTTAGAACATGTCTATTGAAGCCTTCTTTCTTTATCTGTGTACCCTCACAGACTCTGGAGTAGTTTACTTCAAAGGTCTGTGTGATGTTTACATGCTGAGGATGCACGTTTGAGGATGTGGATATCAAATAATTTCTAGCCTAATAAACTATAACCTCTGAGAGTGATGGAGTACAGCCAGCGGTCTGTGATTAAATGACTTCAAGCCAGTATGTCCTTCTGTTGTTATGTGTTTGTTCACAATCCAACTGCAACTTGACAAGAAACTCTCCTCAGCTGTCCTGTCCAATAAAGAAAACCACGGCCCAAAAAATATTTCAAAACAAAAACAAACCAAAACAAAACATGTAAATAAAATTATAATTCTTTGCACATACAGTATAGAACCAGTTTTTCAAATACTTTAACAAAACAATGGATGGTTAACGAAGTGATGTCTCATGTTAGCTTGAATCTGTTGCTTTCAAAGGCCGCTCTGACGTCCTGGTATCATTTTGATGAACGTTTAAGTCCTGAACTGCTCCGTCATCCGACTCTTCCTCACCTCCTCCACTCATATCTCAGGTAGGAGCGACCGCAAAATAAGGAGACGAGGAGAGAAATGATAACAAGGATGCACAAACTTAAAAAATCCAAAGAGGGTTTCTGTGTGGCACTAAGAACTGCTGCTCTCCCATGTACTTCTCTTATAGTCCACTAGGAGGCGACACATCCTTAGAGCTCTTCAATATAATACTGCTGCAGTGATAATCCACAACTGACTTTGACAAACAAGTCAAAAGATAAAACAAACAAACGAAGCAAGAAGCAAAGTCAGAGGATGGGAAAAAAAAAATCACTTTTGCTCTGCAAGCTGAATATCATTTTATCTGACCTGGTGGCAGTGCTGAGAGACATCGAAAAATAACTCCAAAGAAATTATGAATCTTCTGGCTGTTGATTTTGGTTTCTTGTGTCTGTAAAAAGAGGCATCAGTGTTACTCTAAATATGTCTCATCATGACTACTTCAAAGGTCCCCACAGTAGGTTTGAGTAACAGTTTTGGGGCCAAACTGTCTAAATCAGTGATTCCCTGAGTGTGGGCTCTGGCCCTCTGGTGGGCAGTGAAGGTACTGTAGGTCGGTTTCAAGTTTTTTGCTTTACAAACTATGGCCTTCAAGTAGAAGGAGTATTTATTTGGATTCCATTACTGTAGGCCTACTTTAATGTTAAATGTTTTAAAGGTCACATATTATGTAAAATACACTTCACCATGTTTTTCTAACTCTAGTATGTGTCCCTAGTCTGTCTACAAACCCCCCAATGATGAGAAAAGTTCATCCTCTCCGTCTTTTGCCTGCTCCACTTTTCAGAAAATATGAGCGCAAACAGGCCATTTGGAGATTTTCCCTTCATGACATCACAAAGGGCAGTAACCCCTCCCCCAGGTGGGTGACACTCCCACAGCTAGGTGTTTGTTCTGCCCTCTAAGTCTGCCTTCTCACCATAAACAATAGGACATGGAGTGAGAAAGACCGAGTACACCCAAGCCCTTCCAGAGAAGGGGCGTGGTCAGACACAGCTTATTTACATTTAAAGGTACAGACACAGAAACAGCCTCAGAATCCTTATTCAGAATCGATTTCAGATTCAAAATGATTCTGGATTCATTGATTCAAAGTCTGTTTATGAATTAGTCCATACTTCAGGATCTACTCTAGTCATCTGTGAGACTGGCTGAATTTCTTGCTGCTCCATTTGGCATCACATTGAGTTAAAGAGCCAGCTTTAGCACTTAGCATGGGGGGACTGATTAGCCCCAAAAAAAGAAGAAATTACTCATTATCAAAGGAAATTGGTGTACATAAAATGTATGGATTTGTCCACCAAAGGCTTCCGTAGAAACAAGCTGTCTCACATAAACGATGAATTACATTAGAGGGACGCTCTCAGACTTTTGATTTCATTAGTCATTCATCACACACTGCTGCCTCACACAGGAGCCACACACAGTCAGATGAGCTATGAAACAAGCCTCACATAGATGTCCATGATCCCAGCATTCCCTTTGCTTCCCGTCGAGCCGTTCCCATCATCGGAGCGGCTCCGGACGCTGCCACACAGCCCGGTGAGGCTGATGCGAGTCTGGCAACCTGTCAAGAAAAAGTGGAGCGGCTCCGTGGCCCCCCCTCATGCAGCAGCAGGACGTGAGAAGTCAGTCTGTGTTGCTGCATAAGGAAGCAGTGTTCGCTAAAAAAAACAGTGACCACCGCTCCCTCCTTCTCCTCATCCTCGCTCTCTCACCACCTATCTAGCATCCAAAAATCCCCTTTTTTTAAACCCTTAAATTATGTAATACGTTTACGAAAATGTATCTGTAGCAGCCTGTCTTCACTGATTCAATGAGTTCACTTTCATCGATGCATGTCTTGGACTTTTAAAGCCTGCAGACAAACACGTCTTTGTCTGTGTTAAGTCATATTCAGTTTGTAAGGAGACAGAAACAGAGAGGAAACAGAGGTGAAAAGGTTCGTTTAAAGCTGTAACATTAGACTTAGGATTGTCAGCAGTCAAATTAACACAGACACCCACAGAGAGAGCTTGTTAAAATGTGTGCGCTGTGACCAATTTAGCTCCGAACCCAAGTATATGGTTAAAACAACAACAGGAACGTTTCCTTCATGTAGTTTCCATGCGAGGCAAGTTGGAGTCTCTAACAACAGATAATGGGGTAAACGGGTTCAAGAAGAATCCATTACTTCAGATTCTCCACCTTTAACTTCAGCTTAGTCGTCACTCAAGGGGAAATTCATTTTGCAGCCAGGTGACACCATAAAACATTTATAAAAGGTAGGTCACTAAACCGCAGTGTGACATACAAAGATATGAGGAGTGATGAAAGATACATTACTGAAGAGGGCATACATCAAGGCCACGTTTCCATCCACTGAAACTGCGTCGCTTTCCGTTTTAAAAAAAGTTCAGTCAGAACAGACAACAACGCTGTGCACACAGATCCACAAAAAAAGACTAAAACACTCTAGTGTACATGCCAGGACAGTAGATGGCAAAGTGACTTTGTAATAATACAACACATACACATGTGCACCTACTTCTCCTTAAAGTAAATCTAACATCACTATTGGCCACTCTGTTAACAAAAGTGGCATCAAACAGACACAAGAATCTGACCTGCTGTGGACTTACTGGCCTGAGGGATCTTTTTTTATTTTTTTTTATTTATGTTTGGGTGTTTGGTGCCTTTATTGGAGAGATAGGACACTGGATAGAGTTGGAAATCAGGGAGAAAGAGAGTAGGGAATGACATGCAAGAAAGGAGACACGGGTCAGATTTGAACCTGGGCCGCACACCAATGTGTGTAACACTGGTTTGTATTCTCTCTGCAGTCTATCAGTGTGTTACCCTTTGCATTTGTGTCACATGCTTTACTTTTAAATGATCTTTGAGAGTGTCACTACAGTGCCCTGATTTCCAAAAAAAGTCACAGAATAATCTTCTAAAACTAAATTAAAAATCAACAGTGCCTTGAAGACAATCACAGAATGAAGAGGAGGAGATATTTTGTACATATGTGTTTAACAAGAGCTGTCAGTGAGTCTCCTACTCGGACTTAGTTTTATATAAAGTGAGCGAGCCCCGACATCCATAAAGAAGCCATTCACCTCTATGAAGAGGCTGTAAAGAGAAAAATGCAGCCCTCCCACTTGATTGACTGCAAGAGGCTGTTTAAACACACACACACACACACACACACACACACACACACACACACACACACACACACACACACACTGCTGCCTTTCCTTAATGGATAGCAGGAGGAGATGCCCAGCCAGGACTAGTTGAAAGAAGGCCTTATGAGAGGGAAACAACACACACACACACACACACACACACACACACACACACACACACACACACACACACACACACACACACACACACACACACACACACACAAACACATAAAGACGGCAAGAAAAAGAAATGACATAGGAAATGGGAAATGTTTTAAGTGTCATATTACTTCTTAGTAAAACCTACTAAACTAGTTCTGGTTTTAACAGAACAAAGTAGGTTTTACAATTGCATGTTGTCATCAGCAGCGTTATATTAAAATGTAAGTCAGTATCTCATTTTACTGTAACGGCTCTGGTACAGAATAATTGATGCCCTCTGCTGGCCAAGGAGAGAAGCTGCAGAACACGCTGCAGAAATACATGATGTTTTATTCTCAGCCAAACATTCCTAACTCTTAATTTGGAGTTCAGTGATGCCAGGTTGTTGAGAGGTCTTAGGTCATCAGCACAAAACCTTCTGTCACTGCCTAGATCCAGGACAAGGTGCAATGGGGATCAGGCTTTTCCTATTGCAGGACCAAAACTGTGGAACTCTTCGTCCCTAGACATCCGTCTCTCTCACACTATTGGTGTTTTTAAAACTCACCTTAAGACATATTTTTACTCAGTTGCCTTTAATGTTCAGTAACCCATCAAGCACAAAAACCCATAGCTCTGTTATTCTTGTGTTACACTGGAATTAACTGTCACTTGTTCTTTCCTTTTTTTATTGTTGTTGTTCTTGTCTGTTACTTTTTAATGCTTTGTTTCTGCAATGTTCAGCACTTTGGATCAACTATGTTGTGTTCAAAGTGCTATATAAATAAAGTTGAGTTGAGTTGACTTTCAGCATGATATCAAACTTATTGTTACTGTATCAAATTATATGAAGAAACCAGAAGAAATCAGTAGAACTGGGAATTCTAGGTTCCTGTAGTAAGACAAGGTGGGACACAATGATTTTGTTAAATATCTAGTGATTTTGTTCCCTGCTTTTTCTGTTTTTACTTTTGTGCATTTTTGGGGTTTCTGGGTTTTTATTCGGTTTTCTTGTTTTCTGTAGGTTAGTTTCTTTCTTAGGTCGTTTTAGGGGGACGGCCTATTGCGAGGTTGGCTCGGCACCTTCCCATACTTTGTTCTTTTTGACCGGGGTCTCCACTCCCTTTTGTTCCA